GGGGCGGCGGCACAGCAGGCCCACGGGAGCGGCATAGTTGGTGTGTGCGGAGCCAGCAGGAAAGAAACAAGATTTACGCTGATGTCGGCGACTTCCCCGCGCCCGTGGAGTAATAGTCGCGCTGCTGTAGTTCTGGAGGTGGGGATGGTGAGGAGGGGCGGGCGGAGGCGTCTTAGCTGCGCAGCCTGCGCAGCCGGGGCCCGGAAACCCAAAACGTAAGATGAAAGGGACGGGGGGTGTAAGGGTAGGGGGCAGACACGGTGGCGAAAGGGTTGAACAGAGGGCAGGAACAGAGTACAGTATAAGGGAGGGAGGGGGCGGCTGCAGGCAGGAGCGGCGGAGTACGTCTTACTCTGGAGACAGTGGGGTGGCGGCCAACCTTGGGTACGAAGGGGGCAGGGGAAGGATTAGAGGGCGGGAGGGGCGGGGGGCGTGCAGGACGCGCGGACACTCTATCATCATTAGTGGGCGAAGGGGACACGACAGTCTGAGCGGGGCGGGGCGGGGCGCGCTGCTGGGGAGGTCGGCAGGGAAGGCGCAGGAAATGAAAGACAAGAAGGCGGCGGAACAGCGGGGCGGGGAAGGCCCGTGGCGTGGCTGCGGGGTCGGCGGCCAAAAGGGCGACCGGAGGGCGAGGCGACGCGATGGTGCCTGCGGACTTGCGGACCCCAGCCCAGCACCGCGCCGCCGGGCCGAGAGTTGAGGAGGAAGTGGGCGACGCTCATTATTTCTGACGCGAATGCGAGGCAAGCGAGAGCATGAGGAGCAAGAGAGATCGGGAGAGAGTCGACGCCTCGCCGCCCGGGAGGAGTGCGTGACAGAGAGAGGCAGAAAGAGGGCGAGAAGTGGTCAGGCTGCTGCTGGGACTTGGGGGGTGGAAATCACTGAGCTGCCGCTGCTGGGCTGGGGTCCGGCCGGACGGCGAGCCAACGGGCCGAGGAGATGATCCGAGGCGAGGGCGAGGGCGGTCCGGCCGCGCCCGGGGCCCGCCCCTCATTACCTTTATCGGCCACCTCGGCCCCGGCGGCGCTGGAGGCGGAGCCGCCCCCGGGCCCGAGGGTGCTCGGCGCAATCGTCTTGTTTCACGTCCCATTGCTCCGCTGCCGCCCGTCGCATGTCCTGCCCGGCCTGACTTTCTGGACTCGCCCCGTCCTTCGGCTGGGAGGAGGACGCCTTGACGCCTCCACCTCGCGCTCCGAGGCCGTGGCCGAGGCCGCCCCTGGAAATGAAGACTTGGGCCCACGCGTGGCCCGCAGGGCGTTATTTATCTGCCTTTCCCCAAAAAGCGGAACAACAAGACGTGCATTTTATGGCCTGCTTCCACCACCCTCTCCTCGAACACCGTTGCTCTCCGGTGAAGTCGGCTGGAGTGAGCAGGTGGGGCTGGGGCCGTCGAGCACGGTGTACGGGGCGGGGGCGCGGGGCGGGCCCGAGTAGCGGGGATTCGCGTGTTTTCCCTCCACTACGTCGCGACAGTAAATGCGACAAAGCTGCAAATGAAATTTGAATTATCCCCCTCTCTCTCCGGCCGCTGCGCACTGAAAAAAAAATACTGTGGTGCTAAGGACAGCTGTAACACCCCCAAGAACATTTTGCTCTTGGATCGGCTTCAAGAACATGCGTTCTTGGAGCCTGTTCTTGGGCTATGTCGTTGGGTCTATAGACCGGACGTCACTGCGGCAGTGACATGTGTCTTTGGGGTGAGCAATTCTTGTAGTTAGTTGAAATACGGACGTGCTTTCGCACTTGTCGTTGATTTCAGTACAGTGTTTTGTAATATTTTTTTAAATATTTAGTATCAGAGATCCAGATTAATATTAGCATTTAATTTTGATGGCGGCAATCAAAAGATGCATTGGCCGGGATCCAGCGCAAGTTAGGCACTCTCTGACACGTTGTCAGTGGGCGACGACTTGTCACCAAGTGCCAAAAATTCAGCCGCACGTGCACTTCTACCCGACAGGGATGAGCGCGCGCGTTAGAGGATTCAGATAATGGAGCGCCTGAGCAAGACAAGTAATGGAGACCACGACGAAAGTGATCAGCGAGAGCTAATGTTGAATGCCATCTAGCGGCGTCTTCGGTTGCTGGCTAATCTTACAACATGGAGCCACGCACTGCCTGCCGCCAGGGGAAGCACCATCGTGCGTCTCGGGCAGCGACATACTGTCCTTGGTCTACCGGCTTCTGTCATTGGTCTAACGTCAACCACCTACGACAAGCCACAGCAACACGTCTGTCCTTAGCACCACAGTATTTTTTTTTCAGTGCGGGCCGCGGCGGCGCCACCAGGAGGGTGTGGTCACTCACGACAATCTTCGGGCTGCCTACCTGTCCTGGCTGCGCGGATAGAAACATGCAAATGCATGCAAATTGTATGATAATTTATTGTGAAAAGTGGTGAGCGGATCGTGCAGGGCGGAGCGGGGGGAAGGGCGACAGTGCGGCCGGAAGTGAGGGGCGGCGAGCGTGTGCTTTTTAACATACTGTTTGTCTTTACACGTTTCCTCTCTCTGGAGGAATTGGGGGGGTGGGGGTGGAGAACCTACAGGAGATGGAAAAGTGAACTCCAGGAGGATGTTAGCGTCAAACCGGCTGCGTGCATTTTACCTTTTTATTCCCTGCGTAATTTGGGGTTGCTCTGGCGGAATCTCCATGTTCGAGTCGAAAACTTGTTTGCATTTCTGCGAAAAGTTAAAGTGAACTAGATGCTCTCCCCCTGTCTCTGCGAGCCTCCCCCTCAACTCGTAAATGTCAAGTGGGCGCAGTGTTGCATTTAAAGGTGGCGCCCGTAAGGTCACGCCGGGCTGCGTCCGAGAACTCTCCCGCCGGCACCTACACCCGAAGGGCTTGGGTCAGCAGGACTGGGGGGTGTCGTGCGCGCGGGCCCCACTGCCGACAGTCGAAAGCTAAGACTGTGTTGTATTCTTATTTAACTCTTTGAACGCACCCCTCATAGCTCGACCAAGCCAGGGGCGGCCAGCCAGGGTCCGACTCCGACACCGAGCACATCGCTACCTCTCGCTCTCTCTCCCTCTCCGTCCGACCCTGCGCGGGCTCTGTGGGTGGGACGGAGAGCAGAGGGGCGCGAGTAAGGGGTGGTGGTCACGTGATTCTACTCTGCTCGGCTCTGCTCGGGGCGTAACGAACGCCGAGCCGAAAGCCCTCTCCGCCCCCGCCCCGCCCTCCCGCGCGAGCGTGCAGGGAGGCACGGCCCCTCAGTTTCGCTTGGCAGCTCGCGCAACGCGCAGGCCTGGCTCCGCCATGGTGCGTCAAGGACAGAAAATGCGCTGAATTCTCGGGCATTTTCCCGTCGAGGGCGAGTTTCCCGTTCGTCATGAGCCTTATTTCGTCTACCGTGGATACGCGCCCCCGCGTGGACCCGTCGTTGTTCACAACGGCCCGCCTCTGCCGCACGGAAGCCGAGTCGCACAAGGGCGGAAACGCGAAAGCCGCGGTGCAGCGCCTTGGCCCCGCTCGGCTGGGCTGCGCGCAAGTGACTTAAATAAAACAGTTTTCGCGTCTGAATTGGGCGCCTCTTGGTAATTTTGTGCTTCTGTTTATTGTAATTTGGTGAAGTGAGTGTGGTGGTGTCAGTGCGCCGTGCTTTGGATTACCCCGGCTACAAAAAGGCGTCGTCTGGAAGATAAGCGTCACTAGCAGAAAACGTATTTTGCTCGGCAAGCAGCCGACTCGACCCGACCCTCCTCCCACAACATAACCTCAGCTGTCAAACTACACAAAACGGGTTTCATGAACGACATTACAGTAATTCACTATGAAATTACATCAAATCTGACCATTCACTGAGAAAGACTTACTATCTGACTGATATTTAAAAGGTAGATGTCGATTTTGAAAACTATTTTACTAGAAAAGCAAGGAAACTGTTAGGGCTGAAAAACTTATCAGGCCACAGATTTTTTCTAAGAATTGTACTGAAATTTGACTTAAATAATATTTTGTTTGCAATTTAGTTTTCTGTCATTGTATTTTTATATGTCTTTCCATGCAGCAATTAATTTCATCCACATTCTACCTTTAAATAGTCTGTATTTTAAATAAGACTGCCTCAACTTATTTTGATTAGAATTTCATTGACAGGCGCCCAAAAGCTCCTTATATTTGTTTAGTAATTTCCATTTCAAGTCTCAATTTCAAAATTTTATCTGAATGTTCCAAGTGTGAGGTAGAGCTGTTACCGCTAATTTTAAGTTACGGCCTATATAGGTTAAAGGTCCTTCATATATAATTAAAGTTTTTGAATGGGGAATCAAACATTTTTCAAGGTTTTCTTGTGTTGGAGATCAAGTAGGACAGACGATATTTCCTTATTGTGCCTTTTGGTTTTATTTCTTGTAACTTATTACTGTTGATTGGTTCTGATTAGTTTCATGTCATGCTGTAACTAGTCATGTATAATAAAATTCAATAACACCAGTAACTTTTCTCTCAAGTCTCCTAGTGGAGTAAACTACTAATAGACTTGATGATATTTCAATATTTATTCTGAGCTTTGATTCCCCATTTTTCTACGATTAAAGCCTATTTCTGGGCTTTTACTAGATACGTAATTGAAATGACTCGTCTTTTCACTTTGTTATTTTCTTTCTCTAGGTGCAAAAATGGCTCAGCAACATGTTCTGTCAGCAATTGTGCTGGTAACATGCATTGTGTGTTACTACAACAGCTGTTATTGTGGATTTGTGTTTGATGACATCAGCGCAATTAAAGATAACAGAGATTTAAGACCCCATACACCATTAAAGAATGTTTTTCTTAATGACTTCTGGGGAACTCCTATGCACAAGGTAAAATTATTGTTGCTATTAATCTTACTTATTATTGTATTGTTTTTGCAAGGGCAAAGAATTTCTGATTCACTTCACCTTTTTTCTTGTAACTTCAGGAACAAAGTCACAAATCATACAGACCACTGTGTGTTCTTACCTTTCGATGGAATTACCTCTTGCACCAGTTAGACCCATTGGGTTACCACCTGGTCAACATGCTCTTACATGGAGTTGTATGCCTTATGTACTTCAGGTATTTTCTGATTTGAAAATTGTTTCTCTCAAGGGGTGTGTCATCAATTTTTATTATCATCCCTGGATTATAATGTGTTTCTTCTTTTGTTTGTCAGGATGTGCTCTATGTTCTTGCCTGAAATTTCAAGCTTTGTAGCAGCTATGTTATTTGCTGTACACCCTATTCATACTGAGGCAGTAACAGGAGTAGTTGGAAGGGCTGAAACACTGTCATCAGTTTTCTTTTTGGCTGCATTTTTGTTTTACTCAAAGGCTACAAAGAGAAAACGAGTAACAGGTATCTTTTCTTTTGTCCCTTTACTAGCACTGGTTTTTTATTCATTCTTTAATTCTTCTCTATGCTTTCGATTGTCTGCAATTAATAAACCATTAAGTCAAGATTTTTTTTTTAATTTAATTTGATTTTCTCAGGATGGCAACATTTGATACTTTCCATGGGATGTGTGGCAGTGGCCATGCTTTGCAAAGAGCAAGGTATAACTGTCACTGGAGTTTGTGGGATTTATGAGATTTTTGTAGCCCAAAAGGTAGGCATTTTTGATGAGATTGATTTATTATCTATGTAAAATATGCTATGGTTAATTAACTTTGCACATTTGCTCATTCATTTCTGTGCTATTTTAGCTCCGCATCAGTGACCTACAGTATCTTGTTCGATGGCTGGTCAGTGGAAAAGGAACTGTTAACAATTCATGGACTCCTGATGTCACACGTAGACTTGCAGTTCTGTTTGCTTCAACAGTTGGGCTGTTGGTTTTGAGACTTCAAATAATGGGTTCAAAGTTACCTGTCTTCACCAGGTGAGCCCTGTTTTTGACTTAAATGTAGTTTGTATTAAGGGAATTCACCTTACTCTTCAGTTTCTTCTATGCTGCTCTACTTTTACAGATTTGACAACCCAGCCTCTGTTGCTTCAACACCAACAAGGCAGTTATCTTATGCCCACCTAATCAGTGTTAATTTGTGGCTATTGTTGTTTCCCTGTGACCTTTGTTGTGATTGGACCATGGGAACTATTCCTTTGATTGAGTCCATCTTAGACCCTCGAAATGGTGCTACTTTAGCCACTTTCACTATGCTAGGGCTGCTTGGGTACACAGCTTTAACTACAAACAATAGACAACAAGCAACAGTCCTAACCATGGTATGATTTGGTATCAAGGTATGATTCTTTTAAATGTTGTAAAGATTTTAACTTCTCTGTTCTTCTCCTTTGTGCAGGGATTTGCATTGTTGGTGTTGCCATTCCTCCCTGCGTCAAATTTGTTCTTCCCAGTTGGATTTGTCGTGGCTGAAAGAATTTTGTACATGCCCTCTATGGGTTTCTGTTTGTTAATTGGATACGGATGGAGTTTGCTGTTTGAAAAGAAGTGAGTAAAACATTATGAATCATAATTCTGTATGTTCAACTTTTAATAGGAAGCGAAGCATGTTTTTTCATTCTGCTCTCCCCCATCTTGCGTAGGAGATTACGTCGAATGGCTTGGATGTGCCTGGGAGTGCTCCTGTTTGTTCATGGCTGCAAAACATACACCAGAAACTTTGATTGGGAATCAGAGTACAGTATATTTATGGCTGGCCTGCGGGTAAACCAACGTAATGCAAAACTTTTTAACAATGTTGGACATGCTCTAGAGAGTCAAGGTCATTTTGAGGAAGCTCTTCAGTACTTCCATAAAGCAGTGAGGTATGTAGCTTACATTTCATATTTCCTGAAGAATGCTGAAGTGTTTTGATTCCTTTATTTCAAATGCATATTGCTTTCTTTTATCCCAGTGTCCAACAAGATGATATTGGTGCTCATATAAATGTTGGAAGAACCCTCAATCATTTAAAAATGTACAAAGAAGCTGAAGATGCATATCTTAAAGTAAGTAAAAGTTGCAAAGTAACTTTCAAATTCTTTCAAACTCTGATGTGTATTCTAATGAGTTGGATTTTTTTTCACCAGGCTAAATCACTTTTGCCAAAAGCTAAGCCAGGAGAGTCTTATCAAGCCCGCATTGCTCCAAACCATCTTAATGTTTTTCTCAATCTTGCTAATCTTATTGCAAAAAATGAGACCCGTTTAGAGGAAGCAGATCTATTATACCGACAAGCCATTAGTATGCGTGCGGACTACACTCAAGCATACATAAACAGAGGAGATGTATTGTTAAAGTTAAATCGCACCAAGGAAGCACAAGAAGTGTATGAAAGAGCATTATTCTATGACTCAAACAATCCAGATATATATTATAATGTATGTTGTAATCCTCCTATCCCTGTTCCTGCACTATTTGTAAAGACTCTTGTTTTCATTTTTATTTCTATTTCGTTTTTCAGCTGGGTGTTGTATTTTTGGAGCAGGGGAAAGCTCCACAAGCCTTAGCATATTTAGACAAAGCCTTGGAATTTGATCCTGAACATGAGCAAGCTCTTCTTAACTCAGCAATTCTTTTGCAAGAGCTTGGCCGCGCAGAACTTCGAAAAGTTGCTCGTGAACGTTTACTAAAGTTATTGCAAAAGGTAAAGTTCCTGTTCCTCTTCTATTCTATTCCTTTTTGAAATACTGAATGAATTAATTGTTTATCATGTGGAATCTTTATGACCTACAGGATGGTACAAATGAACGAGTTCACTTTAACTTAGGAATGTTAGCCATGGATGATCATGATGTTGCTGGTGCAGAACACTGGTTTCGTCAAGCTGTGCAACTAAAAGAAGATTTTCGATCTGCTCTTTTTAATCTTGCATTGCTTCTTGCTGATGATCATCGACCTTTGGAAGCTGCTCCATTTCTCAATCAACTTGTCAAGTACCATCCAGACCATGTCAAAGGTCTCATTCTTCTTGGTGACATTTATATAAATACCATCAAAGACCTTGATGCTGCTGAAAATGTAAGGCTCTTACCTATGCATAATTTTATTTTAAATTATATTCTGAAGATTATTGTACTAATTCTTTTGTCTTTTTGTCTCAGTGCTACAAGCGCATCTTACAGCTTGATCCAGAAAATATTCAGGGTCTTCATAATTTATGTGTAGTTTATGTAGAGAGAGGTGAACTTGTGCGTGCGGAGAAGTGCTTGGCACGTGCGCATTTAATGGCACCTCATGAAGACTATGTTTTAAGGCACCTCAAAATAGTTCAGACTCGTATTGCAAAGTTGCAGTTGAACACTGATTCTGGTGATGCAAATGCTGATTTACCCATAGATTCAGAATCTCAAAATTTACACAAAACCATTCCAGACTTTTCAAGGAGAGGAAACCTTGACTCTTCAGATGATGTACGTCGTGCAGGTAGTTCAGAGGGTAATCCTGGAAGAGGAGATTCTGTTGCTTCGGGTAAAAGAATTAACAGGCGTCCTGCCCAACCTCCAGTGTATGTAAACAATGTTCCTACAGGAAGTACAACAAAAAAGGTTTTGAGGGCGTCATTGGAATACTCAGAATATCCTCCTGAACTTCCAAATCCACTTGATACAAGTGATACAGATACACCTTTCTCATAGTGAAACAGGACTCCTATGATTCCAATCTTGTTGACAATCATAACATCTGGAAGGCTTTTCTGAGCCAGTGTTTGCAAGGCTGTGTCTGTTCACTTTTAAACATCTTGACTACCCTTGAACGTTTCATGTCGGGTAGAATTAATTAAGGCAAAGATGAATTGGCTTTGTGCAAGCTGTGCTCAATCTTACTTGACAGGTCCAGTGCAATTTTAGCCTCCTAAATTTTTACGGGTCTATTTGTTTACTTCTTAAATAATTATGTGCAGTGATCTTAAGGCTGATTCGCCGTTTTTTCAGTGTGAACGAAGGCACTGCTTCACTAGTACCATGTGCATCGTTGAATACACTCCTGTGTTGCGGGTTTGCCTACTCCCTTTCGACCGTAAGGCGCCATGGCCCCTGTAGCCCGATCGAGTATCCTATCCCACGACACAAGAGCGCACTTAAAGATATACCCGGTACATATTTGTACATCAATCAAGCACAGATTCCATGTGTTTCAGCCAATTTTGACTGATATGAAAAATTCTGAGCTTCAGCTTTCGAAGAGACTTTTGCACTCCTATTCATCTTGTCTTAGCTGTAATCTTCTGTGATACTTTCTCTTTCTGATTGTGAAGAATTGATGAATCTTATCTCATGAATCTTTGTAATTTATCTTTTGAAACACGAGCAGTGTCTCAAAAGTGTGTGTACATGTGACTGCAGATTTTTTTAAGATAGCCTTTGATACAGGTCTACTATTTAAAAGTCACTGTGTAGTCTTCACAATTCTTGACTGATATCATTCTCCCTTATTTTGTGTGATAATTATGGAGATTAGCTGTTTATGTTCTTAGTATTAATTTCATTTTTCATTCTGTTTTATTTACGGCTGTCTTTTGTCATGATTTTGTTATATACATATACATTCCAATAACTTCCTCTTTCTTTTTGCAGCTTTTTTATTTCTAATATCATTTAGAGCTGTAAATGAGGCTATCAGTATTTTTTGTTTACCTTTATTTATCTTGAAGTGCCCACGTTTTACTTAATTAAATGGGATGATTTGATTTTTTCTATGAATGACCTGTTTTAGACTTGACACTAATATGCAGCTAGATGTAGGTCAGGAAATATGTGATGTTTCCGTAACTGTGCAGAAGAAGCTGTCTGTCTGGTTTTGTACTGATGTTCCATTTTGCAGTTGTGTTGATTGAAATACAAATATACAATTGTCTGGACTGCTAGAAAGGGCTCACCACACTAAGATGATGTCATGGGACGTCAAAGCTGTGCCTTCTGCAAAATGTCTTATTTTTAAGGAATGTTTCTTTTGTAAAGTACATGAATGTATTTTTTTATGTCACATAGTGTATGTGGAAAAGAATATTTGTTTCATTACACTTAAAAGGGAAAATATTGATATTGTTTGTAATGTAATGACAGAAAAGCTTAAAAGATTTTAGTAAATTAAACAGAGATGTTATGGTATATAGAGAGAATATTAATTGTATAAATGATGTAATATTAGTGTACAATAAATCTTTTGTATGTAGTTGCTGAAGTGGTAGTTGGAATTGCCCCTTCAGTAGCGTGTTGTCCAAGTGTGTAAATGTTCTTTTGTGTGAAGAAAAATGTGTCAACAATTGTATTTTTCATGCCAAGAGTTTTTGTAGGAATACCAATTCAAGATATCTGGCTGCATCTATGTGAATCAGTTTTACAACTTACTTGGAAAAGTATGTTAGTATGTTATTTTCTCTGATCCTCCAATTTCTGTTGCTCTGCTTTTAAGTAGCATAGATAATAAATATTGACCAGCTGTCTCAGAGCATGTCTTGATATGAAACAATTTCCATGTCTGTGTTCTCTAAACGTGTTTTGAATAAAAGTTATACTTCAACTCCATTCACCATAAAAATGTACTTGATTTTACATTTTTGCTATTCATTAGTCTGTTTCCATTTATCAGAAGGAGGCGCCCCGATTGTCCGAAGCTCGTTTGTCCGAACCTAATTTATCTATTTTAGTAAATAAAATGAGTAAAGTAGTTAATTACATTATGTTATTTCATTTAATGACAG